AACACAAAAGATGATAAAATAACTTTAAAAAAAGTATGTGATGGTTGCATTTCTCATGGTTTCTATTCTGCTTTGGTTTTTAATCAACATACAGTTATGCCTCTTCATCCTTTTATAAACATTTTTTAAGGTTTCAGATGAGAGTTTTACAAAAGATGAGTGTATATATATATACAGTGTATATATATATATATATATATATATATATATATATATATATATATATATATATACTCAACTTGTTTCTCTGCGGAGCAACCTTGTTCATAAAGGTTTGTGTTTCAGAGTTATAGAGTTGAAAGAGGGTTATAACCACTATTAAGTAGCCTCCTTGTCTGTAGTGGCCTTTTCGGCCTTGAGGAGGTATATAACAAAAAAAAAAAAATTCTATCTATATATATATATATATATATATATATATATATATATATATATATATATATATATATATATATATATATATATATATATATATATATATATATTATATATATATATATATATATCACGGCTGTTTCACTCAATATAAAAGCGAGCTTGGCGTCACAATTATTTTTGTGTTTATCAAAAAAAAAAATTTAGAAATGCACTAACTTTAAAATAATAGTGTTTTTTTCCTATAAGCGCTTTCATCTTCAAATAAAAAAAATATAAAAGACCCATCTTTTTTTTTTAAATAAATATTTACATTAAACGGAATAAAAATATTAATGTTTAAATATTGCTAATGATTTGGGATCACTTTTCTGTTTTTTGTCGCTTTTACAGAAAACCTGTCTTGGGTCAACTAAGATTTCATAACACTAAATTATATATATATATTAAAATATTATAATATATAATATAATATATATATATATTAAATTATATATATATATATAAATTTATATATAAATTATAATATATATTATTATTAATATATATATATTAAAACATTATAAGTTGTAAATTTAAAAAAATTTAAAAGTTTTTTGATGGGAATTGCCATTCAATTGATTGAGAACTTTTTTTTTTTTTTTTTTAATTTGCATTCACTCCAAACAAGACTGCAAGCAACCACTATTAAGTTGGGAGTTACTAGGAAAAAAAAAAAAACAGAGTTATAGAGCAAGGAAACGGTTGACAGAAAACTTGAAAAGTTGAAGGTTGTATGAGTCAGGAAAACATGAAGATGGGAGAGAGTTCCAAAGGATTGAAGTGCGGGGAAAAAAACTAGATGAATAAAAGTTTTTAGAGCATGCAGGGACAGATACAGCAAACAAATGAGACTTAGCTGAATGACGAGTAAAACGAGAATGAATTTTAGATGATGGAACTAGAGATGATAACTCCTTTGAGCAGTGACCATGAAAGGTCAGTAGTAAGCGATAATCCAAGAAGACGTAAAGAGGAGGACTCAGTAAGAGGATTGCCATTCTTTAATATAGGAATGTTGACCATATTATGGTAGTTGTTTGCAGTAAGCAATTGGGTTTTTTTAGAGTTGAAATTCACAAGCCACTGTGAACCCCAATCTATTACTGAAGTGAGATCAGATTCAAGATTAGCTGCTTGTTCTAGGCGATCGAAAAGAGAAGACTTTTTGTCAAGACAGGAATATAAAGTTGAGTCATCAGCAAAAAGAGCTACTTTAGAAAAGTTGTCAGGAAGATCGTTTATGTAGATAAGAAACAAAACAGGGCCCAGGATAACACCTTGGGGAACCCCAGAATTTACTAGAAATAAAGAAGAGCGTTGGCCTTCAAGGATGACTTTAATAAACCGGTTAGAAAGAAATGATTTGATAATCTCAAAAACTTTCCCAGAAACACCATATGAAGCAAGCTTATGGAGAAGAACAGCATGCCAAACTTTGTCAAAAGCTTTAGATATGTCGAGAGCAATAGCCCTAGCCTCACCGCCTCCATCTAATGCACGATAAAATCTTTCAGTTACAGCAGTTAGCAAGTCGGCCATAGAGCCAGAGGATCGAAAACCGTATTGATTGTCTGACAGTAGTTTATTTGACTCAAGATGAGATGTGAGGAATTTGTTGATCAAAGACTCAAAGACCTTGCTAATAACAGAAAGAAGACTGATCGGACGATAATTGGAGGGGTCAGAATTTTCTCCAGAGTTTTTGAATATTGCAACTAAAGATGCCATTTTCCAACAAGCAGGAAAACAAGACTCAGTCAAACACTTGTTAAATAGTTTAGAGAGAATTGAAGAAAGTTCTGGAGAACAATTCTGCAAGACTGTGACAGGAATGTTGTCTGGACCACAAGCTGTAGACGAGTTTAATTAAGATATGACTTTAGCAACAGAAGCCGGAGTGATTTAAATGTCTAAAAATGGGTCAACCTGTTTGACTGGAATGGAAGGAAGAGAATGTCCATAAGATTCAAGAGTGGAATTAGAAGAAAAGTTCTTTGCAAATAGTTCTGCCTTATCTGTGGGAGAGGTAATAAGATCAGTCCCATGAATGAGAGATGGAATGTTAGATCTACCCTTGTTAATAATGCTGTTAAAGATTTCCAAAAGTCTTTAGAGCCTAACTTCTGCGATAAGATGCGAGATTTAGTGAACTGAGAATAATGGAGTTTAGCATCAGAAAGAACCTTTTTACATCGATTTCTTGCAATAATAAATAGCCGTTTGTTCTCAAGAGAGTTGCTCTTTTGAAAAAGATCAAAAAAATGATTACGATTGGATATAGCAGCCGCACAAGAAGGAGAAAACCATGGAGTAGAATGAGGCTTGACTTAAAACCTACGCGAAGGAATAAAAGCTTCCATTCCAGCCTGAATTCAGGAGGTTACGTAGGAGGCGCATTTGTCACCTGAGAGAGAAATATCATCAGCCCAAGGACCATCACAAAGAAAATCACGAAAGGAATTCCAGTCAGCTTTAGGGTAGTAGTAGGTGGTGCGATGATAAGGTGAGCCCAAAAAAGAAGTATGAGAAGAAAGATTTATAGAGACCATTGCATGGTCAGAACAACCTAAGGGAGAAAAGGGAGAAACTGAACATAAGCTAGGGTCAGAGACAAGACATAAGTCAAGGAGTGAAGGTAAATGATTAGGGTTGTCAGGAAAACAAGTCACAAAGTTAACTATCTGAGTAAGAGATTGAGATACGCAGAAGTTAAAGGCTTTAGTGCCAGCAGGATCAGTGGTGTTAGAGCCAACCCATTCAGTGTGATGGGCATTAAAATCACCAACAACAACAATATTGGCAGAGGGGTAAAGAGAGAGGGCATGGTCAATTTGATCAGAGATAACATCTAAGAGAGTGCAATCATGGGAAAAAGGAGAACAATAAAGAACAAAGAGAAAGTTGATAGAGTGAAGAGGTGCTAGGCAAAAGCACATAAAAGAATGGTCAAAGGATTCGAACCTGATTTCACGACAATTAGGAGAATTAATGCGAATGTATACCCCTAAACCTAGCGTGTGACTATTTGAGTTTTTACGAATCAAAGGATAGTACCCATCAACACTGACATCTGAAGAAAGAATTGCAGAAATTAAATTTGTTTCACTGAGTGCAAGCAAGTCTGGTGAATTTTGCAGGAGGTAAAACTCAACTGACGGAAAGTTGCTTCGTAGACCGCAAATATTTGTAAAAGATATATTAAAATATTTAGGTGGTGGTGGTTGTTTTTAGGTTTTAAATTTTTGGTTACTTTAATCATGATTTGGGTTTAATGAGAACTTGACTCATTCATAGATAGAGCACAGCCTCATAATCAATGAGCTATGCAGTTGTCTCAGTCCTGTTTATTAACCCTAAGCCGTGACATAGGGCTCCTTATGTGGCCTTTACAATGCACACCAAAAGCATTAACAGGGACACCATCCATGCGCAACATGGCACTGTTAATACTCTGATATTTTGCAGCTGTTCATGGAATCAGCCTCTCTGAGAGCTACCACAGAGTTCGGGAAACCTTACTACCAGCTGGCCTCAGAACCATTAAACTGAGTTTTAGAGCTGTACCCTCATATGAATATAACAGGAAGAGTTGCATAGCCATTATCAAGGAGGCATAAGCAAAATTCTATGAGTAGAGTCAAGGAGATCCAGCATTCATCATCCTAGGCAGGAAACAATGTAACACAGGTTACATCTACGCCAGCCTAATAGATGAAGAAGGGGTTCGAGGCTGGTTAGCAGAATTTTTCTGCTTACCCCTAAAGTCTTTGCCTAGGAGGCCTTCTACAAGACAGTAGCAGGATGCAGTTAACATCTGCCCAAGATGAGTATTTTTATCGAGACACCATCTCTAGCCTTTACTCAATCAAGAGCCCCAAGGCAGAGGATGTTTAGCTGGCTGCAGTTAGTATCTGCCCAAGATGAGTGTTTTTATCGAGACACCATCTCTAGCCTTTACTAAACCAAGAGCCCCAAGGCAGGGTCGGAGTTTATTTCTCCCAGCCTTTGCATAAGAAGAGCACACTCTGCAAGGCAGCAGGGCTTGTGGCAGGTTGTACTGGGTTACGTGATACCAGTAGCAAGATTGATCTCGATTATCCTGACCTGACCTAGAGTAGTTAAAAGGAGTTACTTCCCGCAACAGTACTTTGAGAAAACCAGGCATGACATTTTGGAAGTGCATTAGGAAAAACACTGCATCTAATAAAATACAGGAGTCTAAGGTGAGTGTAGGTTTTGTAGTTGGAGTAAGTAGTTAGTTACTGAGCTTACGCTGCATTAGAGTATAAACAGAACACAAACAAACATAAATCAACTTACGGGTAAGTCAACACCGCGCCAGAGGTTCAGACAGAACACAAACATACATAAAAAACATAAAGTAACTTACGGGTGAGCAAACACCGCACCAGAGGGTCAGACAGAACACAAACATACATAAAAAAAACATAAAAAACATAAACATAAACATAAAGTAACTTACGGGTGAGCGAACACCGCGCCAGAGAAAAGTGAAATTTATTTTTCACATAAAACTTACCTACTCAAAAAAAAAAAAATTTAACATAAAAGTTTGTACTTACCGATTCGAACAATTGAAAATGATGACTCTCTTTTGATTATTAAATTATCATTGTTAGTATTAAGTCTTATTAGAAGTTGTAAATAATCTAAATTGTTTAAAAAAACTCCTCCACGAACCGTTGATGTTGTGGATGATTTTAAAGATAGTATTTTTTGATCATACAAAACTGTGTCAACTTTATTAAGAACAACAACCATTACCAAAATGTTTTCATATTGAGCTTTATTAAATATTATATTTGCTGTAATAAAGTAAAATCCAGATTTTTCAACAATATAATCTTGTCTAAAAAGAAACCCCCGACCATATTCAAATAACCAAGAACTTCCATTTGTAATCCAGCCATTAATGGGATACCATTTGCTTTGATTGTAAAAATTACTATTAATTCTAGACTGCACTGCAGAAAATCCATAAGTATCATCGCCAATGCATGTTAACGAAGTTGATGACAGCTTACCAATAGAATACGAATTATCAGTCAAAGTATTAATTTTTAATGAGTACACATCTCCAACATTTCAAGAAACCACAGTAGTAGATGATAGACTAAATGGTAACAATCCTTCATTGTAGTACTCAAAAAGGTTAATTAAAGATGTACCCAAATTTTGTTTAATACTGACAAAGCCATAAACATTTATAAGATCCATATTAAATGCAGCTAAATATACACCACCTTTAGAAATAATATATTCATTCGCTTGGGTAAAGTTTGTGTAATGTATTGACTCTACAGCAGACCATCCTACTATTTTTTGATCTCCTGAAGAACTTATCAGTATTTCAGATGATAACTGACATGAGAAACCGTCTAAAGATCTCAGAGGGTTAATAAGCTTTAGACTAAACACGCTTAACTCAGAAAAATATGTTGTCAATGCATTTGATTGGACAAAAATTGCAACAGTGTGACCAACTAAAAGTTGCACTGCTTGTGTTATTGAAATAGTACAAATACCAGAACATACAGGATATAAATATGAAGGACCAATACCAGATTTAACCACTGAAAAATCACTTAAGTCTGCATTGATACCAATCTTTATTTTTAAAGAAAAAAAATTTTAATAGAAAGTTATTTTAAATCTATAATGCATCATTATTTTATTTATAAAAACAGTAGTCGTGGTAATTATTCCTTGACCTCAAAAATCCAAATTTTCATCCAACAGTCAAAAAAATGGAAACAACAAATATCTAAACTCCTAGAAAATTGTAACATCTCAAGTACAAAAAGCCTTTCAATTCAATTTAATAGAACTATTTAAAGTCAAGCTGGTGAAGCCTTCTTCAACTTCTTATTTTATTCATCTCTTTCATATCTCTTTTCTTTACCTCTTTTATTTATCAAGGCTTTTTTATTCAACACTCCTATCTCTCTTTTTTTATATTATATTAATTCTTACATTAATCATCATACTTTTATTTATCTCTGTTATCTTTTTTTTCTTTATCCATCCTTTAATAAACTATTGTACAAAGTTTTCTTTATCTTTTTAGTTATATTTCATATTTCTTAATTTTTGGATTCATCAACAGAAATCTGTTAAACAAAAGAATATAAAGAACAAAAAAAAAATATCAAACCCAATGGAAACTTGACTTTCGTTTGTTTTAATAACTAAAGTTGATACTAAACACACTCCATCTAAAAAAACAGTATATACTCCATCCCTTTGGTTAAGACCTTCTCCATCAACACCAAGAACAGTAGACATTATAACATTCCAATTTCTTAGTCTTGTATAATACCTAAAAAATAATAATTTCTTTTAAAATAACAACAACAGGGATTAGTTAAGTTATATGCTAAGTAATACTGAGTATAAATTGATGACTGAGTAAAAATTGAATTATTTACAAAAATATCTAATAATTTTATTATTTTATGAAAACATATTACAGTTTTAAAGATTATTGGCTTTTGCATGCTTAGAGTATAATGTAACCTTATCAAGCCATTCTTATGCAGGGACAGTGTTGAAAATTATTAACATAACTTAGAATTTAATTAAATTAACTTAAAACATTTAAAATTAACAACAGATAATATAGATTTTATAAAAAACAAATTTATAACATTATGTGTATTATATATAACCATATAAATTTATAAATTAATAACAGTAAAATAAAAAACTTTTTTACCCAAGTTTTATAAATGGAAGTAAATCAATAGGTTTGCCTGTTCCAACAGACGGAATTGGCAAATAAGGTGGTATTCTGAAAAATGACCAGCCACTGTAAGAGCGGAGATTTTCCCATTGTGCATTTGAAGCTGAGGGTTTGACCTAAAGTAAATAAAACAATTAGGTAACATCAAAATTAAACAATTAGATAATATGTAAAAAAAAAATTCAAAACATGTTTAATTTATTTAAAAAGTGAATAAACACAAGTCATAAAAAGTTTAGTATTTAAATATTAAAAAAAAACAATGTCAAGTTATTAATTTTATTAAAAATGAATGAATAAACCAGAAATAATAACTAAAAAGAATTTAAGAACACCCTAATCGATAGCTCCTGACCTTTATACAGGTATAAAGCACCGTAAATCTTCATTGTGTATTGAGGATGATCGTTATCACTAAATCTTGTTATTAGTGATGTGATAGACGTTAATGTTGTGAAAACAGCTATTAAAATTTTTAATTTAATTATTTATTACCATTATAAAAATTTTTAAAGTAGAAGAAATAAACTTTATATTATTATAAAAAATTTTTGAAAGTAGTATTACCAATTTTCATATTACCAATTCTTAATAGTTTTAGTTAATAAATCATTGGTAATTTTAAAAACTACAGATTTATATTGACTTTTAAAAATTAAAAAAAAAAAAACCTATTTGATAATTATTCAAATCAGGAGCAATAGCAAGATTTACAAAAATATAATAAATTCCTGTCTCTTGAACTGTTACTGTACCCATGACTGAATCTAGTTTTAGAAGATTTCCTAAACACAAAATATTTAGTTTTTATTTACGAAACACAAAATATTTAAATTTTTTTAAAAATGAATTAAAAAAACTATAATAATAATTTAAATTAAAATTAAAATAATAATTTTTTAACTCTTTCATTTAAAAAAATTTAAAAAAGAAAAAGAAAACTTACCACTGCTGAAAACACCAGTTGCAGTCCTCACCCGGTTGCTCTGCCAATATTTAACTTTAGACCAATCAGAAGCGCTCTGCTGTTGATCAAGTGTTGGATCTAGCATTAACTGCATTCCAGATGAATATAAATCATTGGTAAAAGATAAAATGAGAAAAGTGATAGATAAAGAGGAAGATATGGCTTTCTTAAAAGACCAGCTTAGTGAAAAAAAATAATGTCTTGGAGATAGAGATAAAAGATATGAGTGTTCTGTAGTAAGAAGTAAAGATGCACATCAAAGTTAAATAGAAATCCGTCAGCAGAATTATATAAGAATGATTTAGATAATCAAAGTTTCTTCTAGTTACACTAGCAACAAATTAGACAAGGAAACAGATGTTGACTTCGATTTTAATACGCATTCTAATATTCAAAATTCTGTTCTTCTTCCTAAAAATATTCTTCAGTCAACTGCTCATACAGCATTGATTACAAGTGTTAATGTCATGGCTGGTGGTTCTATAGCAAACTTTAATTGTTCTAAATCTACATCTTATAGAACTGCAAAAAAAATAATATCTGTCAGGGTTAAAAAAATTAAAGAACACATAAAAAATACTGTAATATCAGCAGATTCACTAATGACTATACACTTTGATGTAAAAATTATTAATCAATTAACAATGGGGAAAGCAATTTAAAAAAGATAGAATTGCAGTTTTGGTAAGAATTGATGTGAAAACAGAACTACTTGGCGTTCCTCGATAGATTCTTGTTCAGGGGTTAATCAAAAGCAAGCTATTGTAGAATTGATAAAATTTTTTGGATTAAAACATAAGGTTAAATGTCTCTGTTTTGACACAACTTCAGTAAATACAGGAAAAAGGCAAAGTACTTGCTTGAAAATAATTCAACAAGTTCAACGTCTCTTGTTGTTGATTGCATGTAGACATGTAATTGAGCGACACATAGCCCATTTCTAGAAGATTTACCCAAGCAGCAAAACTTCTGGTTGAGAAAACCAACTAAAACCAACAATAATACCACCTGGAACATGGATATATAATCTGAACTTACTTTAATGGTTCTATCATCAAATATGTTTGAATTTCATATACCAGAACCAGACATACTTGGTATCTAGATCCTTCTTTAGTAATTTTTGCTCTAGCAGATAAAGAATGTAGGAAATGTGGTGATATGGACAAAAAACTGTATAGTTTACAAAGATGTCCAAGTGACAGTTTTCCTATGGAGCCCCAGGTAATGGACCAAGCTATTTTAAATAGCCTCAACTTCAGTAAAGATAAGCCTCCTATTTTGACTCCATTAATAACAGAAAAGTCGTGTCTAGTTTTTGGCATGCTCAGGCATGAAAAGGCAGAAATTAAATGGATGAAGACTAAACAAGAATTTTGGAAATTCAATGATTTTTATCTAGAACTTAGAGCAACAGTTAAGGGACTTGATGTTATTAATGACTGTTCTGAGAGGGCAATTAAGTTAGTTCAAGACCTAATAAATAGAACATATTCTGAGGAAAAAAGGCAGAATACCTTTCTCTTTACAAATAGTTACAAGAAAAACAGCAACGGTAAGAATAAAATGGATTACAAAAAAGCCACTAGTACAAATATAAATATAGTCTAGTTTCTTATTTTTTTGTTAATATCACTTCTTTGAGAAAAAATAAAAAAATTCATAAATTTACTGGATTTGCTGTATTTTAATTTAAATGAAACTTTACTATTGAAATGAAATTTTTTATAATTTTTTTTTTTTTTTTTTTTTTACCTTCTTTTCCTGTCCAAGCCTCTTTTATATATTTACTAGAATAGTTCCTGAAGCTGATTATAAGTGAGAAATCAATATTGTATTGTATCAAAAATAAATAAAAAATTAATGTACTTTAATGTGTTTCAAGAAAATTTTAAGAATATTTTGTATTTTTATGAGCTTTCCTAAATATTTGGATTTTAGGGTTTTTTGAAACAATTTTTTTTTATTATTTGTTGAGAGTTGAGCATTTTATTTAAATTAAATAAATCTGAACAAGCATAAATATAAAAAAAAAATGGAAAATTTTAATGTCAAAACTTCAAACAATTTTAAAAATGGTGCAAAACGCCCTAAAAATTG